TGCAACGTCGTGTCTATGAGCGAGCTCGTAGAGAAAGCCCATGATACATAGGAGTCCATCCTGGACAGTCGCACAGTGCAGACTATTTAGCATACTATTCAGCAGTGTGGGGCTCGTCAAGTGATCCACGATGTCTGTAGATGTCGAGCACAGCTGTAGGAATGTAAACAGTCTCGACATGGTTCGCTGAGAAGCCTTAGTGAGCATTGAATCGAGCAGTGGCAAGTCAACGAGACCCTTTTGGTGTACGACGGTCCTCGAGGCCTCCACTCTGGCGAGCTCTTGAAGCAAACCAACACCTTCGTGCAGGTTGTCAGAACTGGGAGATGTAACAATAGCAAGGACCTCGTCAGCCACTAGTTCATAGTCACTGCTGACCATCCCTTCACGGGTATAGCCCAGCACAGAGACTATCACACGGAGTGTTCTGTCTACAGTGTCGGTATCAAAATGGTTCCTGACAGTTTTGAGCAGCGTTACGAGTTTCAATCGGCGTGGTATGAGCAAGGCTAGCACTCTAGGCCAGGAGCGTGCTCGATCCAGGGCCTGCAGCGGAGTCAGACGAGAGAGGCGATCATACCCAGCCCACCGAGCATAGTGGTGGCACTAGCGCCATGACATCCGAACAGCGGGACTCGATCTCTGCTTGTATCTGCCTTGACATGCTGTCCATAAGATGCGCTATAAGATGAATACTTCTCGGCTGACATCATCGATGATTTGCTCGAGGATGAGAGTATACGAACAAACTAGACCGAACGAGTAGGGAGAATGGGGGGAGGCAATAGCCGTCAGGAGCAGGTGCCTGGCAAGTGGTTGGAAGCCACGAATGGGAGTAAGCTGACCATGTCCAACGGGGGTCGACACCGCACTGAAGGATAGCCTCCATTACGTTGGGTGATCCGACTAGTGCACATAGCGGGCCCGACATAGAAGTCGGCTGTTCATGCTGGTGGGAGAGTAGTGTCCTGCAACATTGCTGTCAATCTAGACAGGTTCAAAGCACGCAGAATGCACCTTAGTAAAGTAAAGGCATGCTTCCTCACAACCACTGGCCGCTCATGGTCGGTAATGCAGTCTATCCAGCCTTGAGCACACTGCAATAGGGGCTCCACCGGGCCGACTGCAGCCTGGCACACAGAAAAGGGATACGCAATAGCCGGACGAGACTTTCGGCTTCACTTCTTCGCTCTGGCTTTGCAACAGCTTGCAGAGGTTGCTAGAAGTGTCGAAAACTCGCTGATGGATATCCTCGTTGGTCGATTGGTGCAAGGCCGATAAGGCTCGAACTATGCACATTCGAGCGAGCCGACCAAGGTCATTGTGCTCCTGCCAGAGATGTATAAAGAGTCTTCAGCTGTGGTCAACTCTTTACGATTAGCTTCTCCAGATCGTTCAATATACGATGCTGTGTGTCTACTCCAGAATCACGTGTTAGTGCAACAAGGCAGGCGACCGCGGCTTGCCGAGGCGACTGAAAGCCAACGACATAACACTGCGATCAGCTCGCAATCTTTCCTCGGTATCACCAGCGTAGTGGTGACCCCGGGATGGTCATCTCTCGCGCTCTCGGTCAGCACTGACTTGAGCGAGTCCGACGGTGTGTCCACTAATTCAGCACGCATGGCAGGAGTCAGGTCCTCGCTCAGTACACAAGACATACGCCCTGCAGAACTACTATACTCTGACCAGGTCTGCGATGGGCGTTGCTGTTAGTAATAATGAGCTAGTTGAATCGGTTGATGAATATAGAAGTATATGTCAGATCTTTTCAAGTCTATCAACCCGGAGGGCAACATGCTGATATCCGAGATGCGTTGAGAGCAAAGTTTCTCTCCCCTCCCCCGGCCTACGTACTCGCCAACACCCATATCGCCGTGATGGCGCTGCGGCGAATTGCGCCGGAACGAACGTCGGTAAGTATAAGAAGACCTCGTAGGAGGGAATCCTGCAGCTTGATACAGTCGGCGAGCTGGCCAGATACAACAAGGCGTAGCAGACTCCTAGTGACAAGGGACTCTCAGTCAATCTCGATCGAATCACAGGGGCACTTTGAGCACGCTAGCTGAACGTCATCATCGTCCGAAGACCAACACAGGTTTGTCAGCAGTTCTACTCCTCCTCCAGCAATCTGTGAAGACTTCCACTCAGAGAGTTCCCTCGTAACTAGCAGCCTCACCACGGCCTTTGCATGATCAGTGTGGAGATAAACGAACGATATCAAATTGAGTGCGTCAAGACGTTGGCGAGCAACCGAGCTTCGAGCCAACTTCAACAAGGCTTCAACCTGGTCCATGGCTTTCCCGTCTATGATCTAATACAAAGGCTCTCACTAGTTCTAAGCGGAGCACGTCATCGCTTTCTAACAGTTTTGTAAAGGCTTGCATTGCTTCAGTCTTAACCTTGTCTAGCTGAGCTGTTGAGGCCGGGGGAGATCTGAAACTCTGTCGTAATTCTTTCGAGTCTGTCCTGCGGCTCGTTACGACGCGGAAGTCTCGGGATCGGACAACTGCGCAAAGGCGACATTCACCAGCGCGATGACTTTTGGTTGTGCTGAACCATCCCCTGTATTAAGGAGTAGTAGGTCGCGGACCCAGCTGAGCAATGAAGGGTTGTATGCAGTCGTGTCTTGATTGGTCGCCAGCAGGGCAAACGTCCATGCCGCATTCAGGCGCACCTACATCGAAAGTATGCTGATGAGTCTCCACTAGGGAGGAACGGATTTTGATATTTCGAGTTTACTTCGGGGATGTCAGAGATTGCCATTGAATGCAGTGCATTGGCCACACTAGTGGTTGACATAACTTCGTGGTTGCTGGGGTAGACGGCCAGACTAGAGAGAGCCGCCGATATCCAAGGGAGGGCCTGAGTCAATGGGTCAGGCTTGTGGAGTTATGCATCGGAGAAAGTTTCTGCCATTTCGTGGTGGCGTTATCTATGCCCACTCTCGTGGACCAGTGGGGGTATTCACCGTTGATTGAGCGAGACAGATAGGAGCATGCACGTACGGCAATCGACGTTTCACTGTGAGATGCTGTTTTCTGTATTGTATTCAGGATGAAGTTGAGGGCTGCATTATGGAGTAAAACTTCCTGGGTTGAGCGATGCTGCATTAGAAAGCCTGAAGGGGGAGGGGTATCAGGGGTGAATCTCTACGATCTGGGGCGCCGCCCGAGAGACGGTATAGTAGAGGCGGATGAGCATCCTTACATATAGTAGAGCTCAGATAGGGAAGAGGCGATATGCTTTCTTCAGCCGTAGGAGTTGTCGCAAGGTTGGGCCACAGATCAACGACTTTGTCCCAGCTCGCAGCAATTTGTGCAGCACCATCCTCGTGTACTGCTAGAGAGCTCAAGGCCACACAAACACGTTGTTGGACCTAGTAAGGGCTTCGAGTAAGTCTCTCGAAGGCAGAGTGGAAAAATACGCACATGGTCAGCTACATGTGTCGGTGATAAAATGAAAATTTCGGGGAAATTGCAGAAAATTCTAACGAATTCGTGTGTGGACTCCTATAACTAGTGAGGAAACTCCTGAGTTCAGCTGAGAAGAGTGAACACCACTTTAAAGAGCTCACCTTCACGTGCTCATCGTCCAGCAGTGCTATTAAATTGTCCATGCCATGATCGAGTATATACCGTCGGGAGAGATCATCATCAACCAGACAGAGTATTGCAAAAGGCAAATACCTAAACAGTTGAGACTGAGCTGCGGCTGATAGCTGAAGTAGATTGGAAACCAACCAACTACACTACTACTAGGTAACGACAGTGAAGGTGTGAATGAGACGCCTCCAGTACTTGAGTAGTATGCCTAGTTTCA